ATTAGTTTTTAATGTGGCAAGGTTCTATTTGTATTAATACAACTATAAAAGGGAAGTAAACAAGAATGACTGAAGCCAGTTGTTGGCTCATGATGTCAGCATGCATTGCCCACTTGCTAAATTTTCAGACAAGCATCTTTCATGCTGTCTCGCATGCTGCCTCTCAGACTTGTGAGGTGCTCCCTATAAACATCCATAAAGCTACCTCTTTATTCTCCTTCAAATCCTTCCTTAAAACTCTCCTGTTCTGTGACAGTGCTGCTACTGGTGTGCAGAAGCCACTGCCTGTCATGGTGACCAATATTGTCTCATTGTTTTCTTGTACTCCCTGTCATTCTGTATCCATCCGTTGTCTCTTGTCATATACTTAGATTTTTAAGCTCTTTGGGACAAGGACTTTTTGTTCTGTTTGTTCAGCACCTAGTAGTATGGGATCCTGATTCATGACTAGGGCTCCTCGGGTGCTACTGTAATACAAATAATAAAAAATAACATTGCTTAGGTCATATGATAAATGTCCTACTTTAAATCAATAAGGAAATCAAGAGAGACGGAAGAAGATAATTTTATCTGAAGGTCTGTGGTTTGGTTTCTTTTGTATCAGCCTAGATATCTAGTAGTTCTCCAGTAGTACATCATGACTTCACTTCTGTAATGTACTCTACTAGCTCTAGCAGGCTGCTTAGACATACTATTTCCTTCTGAAATTCCAGTAATAGTCTGTGGCAACAGACATTCATCTTAAGAGTCTAATTTTCTTCTGTGTCAAATGTCTCTGCTACAGCTGACCTCAGTTTTGTGTATCATTTAGGGCCCTGTTTACACTGAAGCGATAAGTGTCTGAACCAGCTAATAAAACTGTTATAAGCAAATTCAGCACAATTTTAAATATGGTTTGCCTGACCAGCATTGACTAGTTTCTATCTGGTCTAGAGCATGTTCCAAAAAGTTATTTTCTCAGCCACACTACCCAGGCCAGTATTTTAAAACCTCAGACAGTCCCCTCCCACCACTATGCAGAAAAGGCCTATCTGCTTGGGCCGTCCTTGGAGCTGTCATTGAGCAAAATATGAAAAAAGGCCCACCAAACCCCTTGCTGGGTCCAACAGGGCTCTAGGGTATATCTCGTCTTGGCTTGAGGCCTTGTTTAGTTGAAATGTTTGATTTCTCCTGTTTGAGTGATTTTAAATGTTTATCCCAAGAGAAGTGTATTTCAGCCTCTAGGTCAGGGGTTCTCAAACTGGGGGTCAGGACCCCTCAGGGGGTCGTGAGGTTATTACATGGGGGGGGGGGGGGGGTCACGAGCTGTCAGCCTCCACCCCAAACGCTGCTTTGCCTCCAGCATTTATAATGGTGTTAAATATATAAAAAAGTGTTTTTAATTTATAAGGGTGGGGTCACACTCAGAGGCTTGCTATATGAAAGGGGTCACCAGTAGAAAAGTTTAAGAATCATTGCTCTAGGTTATGATTCAGTATAGTTTTTGAACTTGTAGGAAGAGAAGCCCTCAGCTCACTACCTGCCAAATCACAGCCTTGAGCTGTTGGGGATGAATAGCGGAGGCAACTTCTGCTGGGATTTGTAAGCAGATTGATGGGTAGAACAGTAGATACTTACATTCTATTTTGTTGAATGCCTGTTGCTTCACAGAACATCCATGTTCATTTCTGCTTTGCTTTTGAAGATTTCATGAGACCTCTTTTAGCTCTTTTTAAAGGATACTGTCAAGGTAATTAGGCCTAACAATTGATATGCTTTAAAGTTTCTAATTTTTATGACACTGCGCGGAGGTTCTCCTCCTGTTTGTATTTGAAGTGGATTATTGCAACATTGCATTTCAGACTACTCCAAAGTGAACTTTAACATTTTAGTTTTAATGGTTTTGGTCACCTTCACGCAAAGTAATTATTGAATAATTTAATCTGGATTTTTCAAAGGCAAATCAATTCAAAAGGAATTCATTGAAAGCTGGGTACCCAATTTCCTTAGAGTCCTTTGAAAATCCCAGCCTTTAACATTACAATAACCTTTAACATCAATATTAAATAACTCTAAATATTTTACATGAGGTGACTGTTCCACAAGGAGGAAGAGGGCCTCTGAAAATTCAACAGTATTAAAATAAAGCAAACCGCATCTGGATTTCGTATTTGGTTGAAGTGAAGCAACCATTATGGTGACTCTTCCTATTTTCTCCCTCTGTGACTGTATGTAGTAATCATGTTGCAGCAAGTTCTTTTCACTGAAAACTCTGTGCCCTAGACCATCCCAGTGAGGAAACAGAACTGCCTTGTCTGTTTGATGTCCCCTAAAGCAGATGTCTGTGATGACTGCATGTACTGCAAATCTGTGTCTAGCATAAATACTTTCAGGTTGATGTCTACCGTCTGCATGTTGCTTTGTTAGTGATCAGCCTTCCCCAGAATGAGAAATATTTCTTTTTCCTGTTTCTCAGTCTTGGAAATCTCCTGAGCTCAGACCACCAGCTGTCCCCTAAACAAGCAGTATTTCATGTTATAATGTGCCTCTTGTCTTCCATGAACAGAGCTGAGGCTACTGTGTTCCATTTCCCCCAGCAGCTATCCAAAACTGTAGTTTTGGAAAATGTGATGGATGAGTGAAAAATGTACCAGACAGCCTTTATATTAGGTAGAAGATGAGGTTAGGTGGGCTTTATCAACAAGGTCAATGCCTAGGTAAGAAAAGCAGCCTTCAGCCACCTTCAACAGCTGGGAAGTAGAAGGCTGTTGAGATTTCTATGGGAATGCTGCCTCTGGACTCTGCTTGGGTCCATCTTTCATATCAGTCTCTGGCTAGTAAGTGTCTGAAACTTCTCGCTGCTGGAAGAGAGCAGGAATTCTGTGATTGGGGAGGGTCTAAGCTACTCTACTTTTTCCCCAGAACTGCCTGGCTGGGGAGAGAAGGTGAAGTGGTCTTTGTCACTCTTCATCTTCTGTAGCTTCAGTGGTTTTTTGTATGTTTTCCATGAATAATTCCAGGGTCCCTTCTACTGCTTTTAGCTTTCCCAAGCAGCAGTAAGGTGAAATTCTGATTGTTGATAGTGTCACTGCTGACTGGGGTTCTGAGGAGCAGTGGTGAAAAGAGCAGAGTCTTGTAAATTTTACTTTGCTGCTGCTTGGCAAAGCTTCTCCCTCTGACATAGCTTCTGCCTCAGGGAGGGTGGATTAACTGTGCTGACAGGAGAGTTCTCTCCCATCAGTTTAGAGCATCTTCATTAAAGTGCTACAGTGGTGCAGCTGCACCAGTACAGCTGCGCCGATGAAACATTTTAAGTGTGGACTTGCTCTTATATAGCCCTTTAACCTTTGTGGTTGAGTGTCTGTTACAAGTCAAAAATCAGTGATAATTATAGATTTAAGAAATGGATGGGATTTCCTGAGTCCTCTGATCCAACCGCCTGTGTGAGTGTCACAACGAGCCTCTTAGAAGTGAAAGATAGACTTAATTTTTATGCAGAATAAGAAACCATTCTGCAAGGGATCATGTGGATTAATCAGAGAAGTGTCATTATTTGTCCCACTGTTTGTAGTTCATTCTGCCTCCCAGTTGATAAAGATGAACTGAAGATAATCTAAGAAACGTGCGTAACAGAAAATGTTTCAGAAACTCTTGCTTCTGTGCAGAATTGCTTAGAAATGAAGTTCTCCATTTTTAGACTATGTTCAGGAGTGGCAGAACTGTCATGTGCTTCTCTGGAGTGATTCATTGACCGACCGCCTGCCTGTGGTGGAAATGCCAACAAAAGAATGTTTCCAGCTCTCTGTGGATCTCATTTGTGGAACCCTTTGGCCTAATATTGTCTGCCATTGAAAATGACTGCATGTTAATTTGTAACTTGAATTGACTTTTGTACTGTGTTTTGGTTTAATCTGTGACTTGTATTTGGGTCACTTGTTCAAGTAGCATCCTCTGAGTATACTGTAATAGAGCACCTTAAATTGAAGAGAGCAAAGATAGAGCTTCATTGTCCATCTGCCTAAGCTGTAAGATTTCCCTTGGGAAACTGCTCTCCACTGCTAAGTTAATAATAGAGGTCATTGAACTCAGTGTACAACAGTCACAATGGTTTGTACTTGTAGTGTGACTACCCCTGGAAGGTAACTAAATGGCAGTTGAATGCCTGGTGAAGCACCACACTGAGCGAAGGACAGTGATTCAGAGTGGATTGCAGATCAAAGAGGAGTACAGACCAGCATCTTTTAACACTCTCTACTCCCATGAAACCGAAGCTCAATTGCAGGGGTCCACTAGGAGTTGAGGAGAGGAAATCAAGGTAGTGGGAATCAATGACAGTACAGGAGCTTCATGCAGGAGGAGCTTGAAAGCAAGTGGGAGGAGAGAGATGAAGCAATAGTTAGAAAGACACGGGTAAAGGAATGAATAGGGGGTTCTTTAGGAATGGAATGAGAGTTGTGAATCCCAGAGGAGCTAGTTACAAAATCATAACTGAAATGTGCTACAATTTAGACTAATTTTAGTTTATCTCATCCTCAAATAGGAGGTGAAAAGCAAAAATACACTTTGGGGCATTAAGGGTGTGGTTGTTGATTGATAGTAATGAAATTAGCTCTAAATTGTGTCTCTTCTCAGTAATTGCTGTGTGTTTTATGAAAGAAATAGCCACTGTGTTACTGTGCTTATGTGAGGAGAGAACTATCTGAGAAAATGCAGGCTGGAAGGAACAGCTTGTGAAACCCAGATGCTCAAATTCTTTCCACCCCAACCTCTTCCATCTGAGTCTCACTCATAAAGCAAACCTTTCCAATGAGAGATCCTAAGTAAAAATGGGCAGTTTGTTTGCAATAACATCACTGATGTTCAGGAAAACACCTTCCTTTCCATAAATTTGCCTGTGTAATAACTTCATCTTATATTTCAGATAATTTTTTATTTTTTGGTTCAGTTGCTTTTGTATTTCAGGGAAACCAGTTGGACAGGATACCTTTTAACATCTAACTCTCTTCACTCTCCTTTTGCAGATAATGGGCATTGAGCAACAAGCTGGGGCGGTATGCTGAAGTCAGGTTGGGGGCAGAATGAGTTTAAAAGATGCTGGCAGTGCAGTTTGCCAGGAGAAGGCGGCCTATAATCTTCATATTTACCCCCAGCTCTCGACAGAAAGCACCACTTGCTGCACAGTCACTGCAACTAAGGACAGCACCACTTCAGATGTAATCAAGGATGTGATACATATTTTGAACTTGGATGTCTCAAAGCATTATGTGCTTGTGGAGGTGAAAGAATCGGGAGGTGAAGAATGGGTACTTGATTTGAATGACTCTCCTGTTCATAGGGTTTTGCTTTGGCCCCGCCGTGCTCAGGATGAGCATCCACAAAACGATGGGTACTACTTTCTTTTGCAAGAGAGGGACACTGATGGGACCATCAAATATGTCCATATGCAATTGGTGTCCAAGGAGAAGGATGCTCGACGATTGGTTGAAAGGGGTTTTCTTCCATGGCATCAGGAAAACTTTGATGATTTATGCAATCTCTCCAATTTAACAGAAACAACACTCCTAGAGAATCTCAAACGCCGCTTTCTAAAACACAAGATTTATACGTATGCAGGAAGCATTCTGATTGCCATCAATCCCTTCAAATTCTTGCCCATTTATAATCCCAAATATGTCAAGATGTACGAAAATCACCAACTTGGGAAGTTGGAGCCCCATATTTTTGCCATAGCTGATGTGGCTTATCACACAATGCTTAAAAAACATGTCAACCAGTGCATAGTCATTTCAGGTGAAAGTGGATCTGGAAAAACTCAAAGTACGAACTTTTTAATTCATTGTTTCACCGCACTGAGTCAGAAGGGGTACGCGAGTGGTGTGGAGAGAACTATTTTGGGAGCTGGACCAGTACTGGAGGTAAACTTAGGCTGAAATTTTTCTTTGCACAAATAACTTCTTAAAAACTTTCTGAATAATTGCTGGTATGTGTCATTTTTAGGGAAGATTTTGAAGGCCTTTCTCTTGCAGAGGCATTGAAAATCCAAGTCTGTGTTGATCTGCTACTTTGAAGACAGATTTTTAAATTATTTTTGTTTTTAATATCTAAAGTTTCCTTGCAACTAACTTTCTGCATAGATAAAATAGACCATTTACTCCTCTTTTGAAATAGGCTATTTCTCTATTTTGCCTTTGCAAGTTACATTCTCGTTTTCAAAGATGTCAGTTTTGATCGGTTATATTTTCACAGCCAGAGCTCAATGTGCTGGGGTGAAGGATTCATTGGATGTCTCTCATTAGAACACTGTCAGTATTTGAGTCTAGGATCAAGCAGAACCAGTCACTTGGTTCCACTGAATCAGGAATACAGTGAATGTTTTCCTAAGTAAATAGCTCTCCATTGAAATAGTTACCGCTCCGAGTCCTGTGGTGCTTTTTTGCATAGTGAGGATGTCTTTAGCATTTCCATTGTGAACTCCCTTTCGCAGGGATTTATTTCTCTGCTGTAAAGGTTTGCTTCAGGCAGACGCATGTTCTCAGTTGGGGAGAAATTTTGATTAACCCGTAAGTGTTCTGAGCAAATTCTGTTTTAATTATTACATCGTTTCCAGCAGAAGGGAAGACAGCAACCACCATTCTCAAACAGGGGTAAAATCAGTATAGAACAGTGCGAGATAACAAGAGGGCAAACATAAACAGTTCTTGAATTTAATCTCTTCCATTTTTTACTCTAAATTAGAATATATTTTTCTAAAATAGTAAGTTTGCAGGATGCAGATGACCCTTCAGTAATCCACCAGTGAATGCATGACTAATAGCAGGGGAAATGCTGAGGGAATTAATTCTAAAACTGTCAAGGGATTGTATTCAAACAATGTGTAAAAGTTTTAATACAATCATTTGTGAAGGATTCCAAATTCTACATTAATTTTGGTGCAGAAGGAATATGAGGTAAAGTTTCCAGAAGTGACCAAGTCAGTTAGAGACAAGGTGGGTGAGGTAATATCTTTTATTGGGCTAACTTCTGTTGGTGAAACTTTTGATCTTACACAGAGCTCTTCTTCTGGTCTGGGACAGGTACTTAGAATGTCACAGCTAAATACAAGATGAAACAGATTGTTTAGCGTAAATAGTTAACACTCTGCACTCATTGGGCAAAAGAGGGGGTGTTAGTGGGTTACAGATTGTTGTAATAAGCATTAAATCCAGTGTCCTTATTAGGGTGGCCACTCATATATACCCGGAATACTGGAGATTCTGATATTTCTGGGAATGTTGTGAGCGTGATCCCATCCCTGTCAGTGTGATGCGCGTGTAGGGTCACGCCATGTAGGGGCACCATTTTGAAGATTGTGTCATCTTGCCCCCACTGGTGTGACCTCACACACATAGTGTCTGCAAGGTTATGCTGGTGGTGGAGTGGGGTGCTCTCCATTCTGGCATCCTTGGATAGGGAACAAACATTACAAAAGCAGGACTGTTGATTTAAAAACCAGACGAGTGGCCTGCCTATTCCCTATTGAGTTCATGATTTTTAGTGTCTAGAAAAGTTATGAATTTAAGCTCCCTTGCTCTTTTGAAGGTGTTGTGCAGGTTTCCTTTGAGGATGAAGGCTGAGAGGTCAGATATGGAGTGATCACTTTGTGAAAAGTGTTCAACCACCAGTGATAAGGGGTTTTTGTCTTGTCTTATTTTTCTATGTGAGTCACTTAGGTGCTTTTGAAAATTTTACCCAGGATGCTTTACAGAACAGGGAGCACATGCAAGCATTTTGCCTTGCTTTTTTCTACTTGAAAGCAGAAGTAGAATTTGAGGTTTGCTAGTTGCTGGAGCTCAAGTTTGCAGTTTAGAACAGAAAACAGGAAGGGGTCACTGTGGAAAGCACTATTTAATCAGCTGATCTTGCTGTATCTGATACCATTAACTCTTTTGGACTCTAATTTGCAAGATGTGATACAGCATAATCAATTCAGATAGAGGGGACTGAAATCACATGTTATATTTTGCCAACTGAATGAGAAATGCAAATACCCCAAACTTCAGCAGCTAGATTTGTAATGATCTGTTATGCAATAAAAAATAAATGCTGTTTTATTCAAGCATTCTTAGAAATTGGTTCAGACTTCCATGTTAGGTGTATCGTAAAGAACCACTCCTAGCTAGAAATATGAGTAAAGATTGAAACATAAACTTGGGAATTTTCTAAATAAACCTTCACATAAAGATGACATTTGAACATATATACCATCTAAAATTTAGGATTTGATAGTTTCTTTTTATGAGTATTTCAGGCAAGAACTTTTCTCATGGTTTAAGGGCCTTTGTCCATCACACATTGATTCAACCTAAACTCATATCTGGGGCTGTACTTTTGTAAATCCCTTTGTTTGCTTCTGAATAAAAGTGACAAAATGCAGTACAGCTGTATCCCAAAATGTCTTGCAGAGATGAGCACAAGTTTGTACGAAGAGTGCTACTGATCAGCTTGAAACTAAAAAGGAAATAAAGCATTCATAGGTGCATGAAAGTTAATAAGGCAGCACAATCCTGCGTGTGGAGAAGTTATGGAGGCACCTGTGACTCTAACCAAGAAATATGAGTAGGGTTATGTCTGCATATGGGTTAGGACCTATAATTCTCCAAGAGTTCAGCTTGAGTCTCAATGGGAGCAGTGAAGGTTTGAAGTATAGACAACTCACATTTTTACAGTAGGATTAGACAACATGGTAATAAAAACTGCTCAGATCCTGTCTGTGCTACTGCCTCCATTGTTATCACAGCTGGAGCTTATGAAGTGGAGAATTATGGGTCCCAGTTTTCTTAGTGTAGATGTCCTCTTAGTGCAAATTACTATTCTGTTAAGTGATGATGAATACTTAAGTCAATTGTGAGTTTAATAGGAGAATGCAATGAAATCTTTGTAGCAAACATTCTGTCTTACAGAAACTGAAGTCTTAGCAACCAAAATGTCCTGTTTCAGAGTTGGTGATTTGGCTTCAGTGAGAGTCACTTGGGCTTTTCGTTTAATAGAACCAAGCAGAACAAGGAATTTTCCTTAGAAAATGAATGTTCCTGGGGATTTTGGTGCAGAAGAACACTTTGAAGTGTGTTTTAGTCATTTGACAATACTCTATTTCATTTTTGCTTTATATTTTGAGTCCTTCTGAAGTGGTTTGCAAATGTGAAAGATTATTAACGTTAATGAAGTCTGCTTGATTGCAGTAAGATTATAAGAGCCTTTAAGTACTGGCTTAGAACTTCCCCTTTTTTTCCGTGACCTCTTATTTTAGTGACACCCGATTGCCAGGCATCTGCTCGTGGGCTGACCTTTTCATAGAGTTCAAGTGAGTCATATCAGCATTTCTAATGTATCGTATAAAGGTGAATGGTGGCATTGTATTAGCAAGGTGGGTTTGTAATTTTTTTTTAAATTAATATACTTTAAGAATAGCCTGTCAGGAAACCTGAAACTACATTTTTTTCCTCACCGCATGTTGTTTGTTCATTTTGTGAAGACTCGTTAGCCAAAGCTGGTAGCTCAGCTTTCCTCAAATTAGTAGAAAGTGTTGAATCATCTAATCATTTGCTCAAAATAAACAAACTATGGAAAAAATAAAACTACAACTATACCTTGCCATGGGATTAATCTAAATGCTTCTTGTAATTACCTTCTCCAACATCTGAGACATTAGATATGCCAAAATAATTCATAGGTGTCATAGTTAACTATAAAATATATTGTATATTAAATCAGTCATGGATTAATATGGCCTTAGTGTGTAAAAGATCATGGAACTTGGAAAAATAAGGTGGCCAGAAAATAGACTGTGGTTGCTTATACTTCTACAACACTTGACCAAAGGAAATACAACATGGTTCACTTATCTGGCATGCTGCTACATACAACAACAGTATAGCAATCACATGCAATATCATAATAGGCATGAAAAGCATCTCTTGTTTATACACTGTAGCTTCCACATGTGTCTGTTTCTGTATGGGAAATTGTCAGGTGCCATGCCGAAACATTCTAATAAAACCTCTAACAGTAACATCCCTGGGAATGGTATTTTGTTGAATTTCCAGCTTCCAAGATGTAATTTAAAAGCTGTTTAAATACTGCAAGGGGACCAATTGAACATTCAGGATATTAAGCCCTGGTCTACACTGCGGGGGAGGTCGACCTAAGATACGCAACTTCAGCTACGCAAATAGCATAGCTGAAGTCAGCATATCTTAAATCGATTTACCTGTCCGTGAGGACGGCGGCAAGTCAACCGCTGCCGCTCCCCCGTTGACTCCGCTTCCACCTCTCGCAAGCTGGAGTTCTGGAGTTGACGGGGAATGCGTTCGGGGATCGATTTATCCGCATCTAGACGAGACGTGATAAATTGATCCCCGATAGATCGATCTCTATCCGCCGATCCGGCAGGTAGTGAAGACCTGCCTTTATGGTCTTTATAGTAATAGCTGCTAGAGAGGAAAAGCTATTCCCCTGTAGCGTTTAGTGCTAAGAAATTTAGCCAGCAAGCTGCTAAATACATTAGGAAATAGTTTGGGGACTAATTGAAAGCTTTTTCTGCTTAACTCACTTTCTCCCTCGTCATAACTTCTGTTGGTGGTATTTGCCCCTCTTTTCTGGGACAGAACTCACCCGACTATGCAACTTGCAGGCAGCTTTGCCTAGGTAGCTTTCTTGGAGTTTTCCTTCCAGCTCCTGATCTAGAAAAATAGATTGTGAAGACTATTCATTTTCTGTGGAAGACAAAACTGTAAAAATGAACTAATTAACAGAATTCCTCAGGGAGAAAAAACAGGATTGAAATATTTTCCTCCTAATTAAGTGATTTGCCACTGCACTACCCTTAATATACAAATGCTAACAAAACACTGTAGTTAAAATAAACTATTACTTTTTT